TACCTTGTGGCAAGGTAGAACCCTTTGATCAGCAGAATTCATTCTAAAGTATCTTCTACGGGGCATCAATTAAGTATAATCTGTCAATGTAGTATCTGTATCCATCTATCTGTTTAAATCATTGTGGGGTCTCTCTGGAAAGACTTCATGGACATGATTGGTTCATGTTTCCTTGTGTTTGGGATAAAATATGGATATCGCTTAAAATGAAAATCTTACATCCTGTACATTTAAAGGAACAGTATGCATATTTTCTCCTAGTTCTTGTGTTAACATCTTCCACAATGTTTTATGTTTACTGTTAGCTTGCCCTGACATTAGTGGCTATACTGCTGCTGTTCTTTCACTTTCATTATCTCTCCTACAGTCTTTCAATTTATGATGAAATGTCAAAATATTAGTTGAAAATCCTCTTATAGTTGATTATGGAAATGAAAGACAATTGATGACATTCAGTCTGAGATCGACTCCTGGTGGTTCCAGGACATAAAAAAACACATCAGGGCATACACATGGATTTACAGCCAGGACAAAGTGCCACATTGGCGTTATTATTACTATGACCCAACCATGTCAGGCTGACCTCAGTGCCAGTACTAAAAGCATACCAAAGCAAATAGCCACTAGTAAAATTAATATTTGTTCTGAACATTTCCTCCCCTTTAGTGCTTTTCTTTTATGAACATAACCCAAAAGAACAGTGCCAATGACCGTCAATAGCTATACATTGAATATTACATTCAACAGCACGACTGCTTGTATTTATACACCAATGGTTCAGGCCTAGTCATCTGTCTCCTTTGCCCAATATACAGTCTAACATTTACAGAATCCCTCACACGGCTCCCAATACATGTACCTTCCCCGTGGCCCTCCTCGCAAACAGCAGCACATCATTACATGTTTCAGGTCTGCCGTCTTTTGTGCTACACGAGCCCTTCACTGTACCGCTTTGCTGGAGGGCCATCCCCACATCCACGCAGGCTTTTCCCTCGCAACCCCATCCCCACGCTTCACTTGTCAACTTTGATGAATCGTCCCGCTACCTTGTCTGCTCTTCCAAATTAACCGACAAGATGAGATATCGGAAAAGCAGAGACAGAGTGGGGGGGATATTCTGACAAGCGCTAGATCATTTACCTGTGAGCGCAATCCAGCCCGGCACATAAAAGCCAGGTTTCGCTGCGCATCAACAACAAATTGTCACCGGCGTCCCTTTTTATGAGGCATCACGCGCCATCATATCCACCCGACAAGGCGCCAGATCTATCGGGTTGGACACCAGGATCTTTTTTAACAAGCCACGCAAGAAGAGGAGAAATCGGCCGCTGTTTTTTTGTGAATTCATTTGAATATCAAAAGGGGGACTGTAGCCGACTGCTAAAAACACGACTCCCATATTCATGGAGCTAGCAGGTGCGCGCTGATCAATTATTAAGAGCGGTTGACTCGCGGCGGGAGGTGGATTCGGCGGGAGTACGCGGCCGTGGTGGATCGCATTGGAAGGGGGTGGGCTGCTGCCTGCTATTTACATAAAATTAACAGTTCAAAAGCAGAAAGGTGCGCTCACCAATCAAACTTGCTAATTGACTGTCAATGGCGCGTCCCCGAGTATACAACCCATTACATTATTCATCGGGGGAAGGAAGGGGGGCTGACGGCGGCAGAGAGGCGATTTGCATGGGCGTAGATCAACAAGCGAGCGGCCCCATGCATTTTTAAACAGGCCCCCTGACTTCAGTATGCAGAAGGGCCAAACTAAGGCCTAACTTAGACTAACTTTTTACCATGGAGATAAGTGTGTTTAGAGAATGGGGGGGAGAGGGATGGCTCATACCGAGATGAGGGATGGGGCGGGGGGAGACTGGGAATGAAGATGCAGTTTGAGGTAGATGCAGATATCTAATTATTTTATCTTGTGTGTTTATTTTCACACTGAAGTTGTATAAACTCCTTGTACTTCTTGTCTATGTTTTCTAAAACAACAAAACAAATATGTATAAGAACAAAAAGAATCTGTACAAACAAATGTGTGGAGTTTTTGTGAAACTGAAGCCATGTAGTTTTGGCCTCTGGTGACTCCTTTACTCTAATTATAAGTTGGAACACTCTGTGCACAGATAGAAATGTTATAAACTCTGCTCTAGCTGGTTGGCTATAAAAGTTCCCTTTTCACGAGTTTTAGTTATTTGATTTGGGGAGCTGGAATAAAGCATAAAGGTGCAGACGCATTTCATTCCCTATTTTTTGCAAATGATTGGACCTATTTTTATTTGCGAGGACTTTAAACTGGTCCTGATTCATCCCAGAATGTTTGATTAGACCCAAATTAGAGTGTTGTAGCTTTATGATGAGCCTTCACAGGACTTTGATGATAATATTGTATCAGTTAGCTGACAAACTTTACTGTACAGATGCTTCGCACATCATTCTCACAGTCAGGTGTGTCAGCTGAGGTGCCAGTGCATTATAAAAACAAGAAAGATCACTGTCACCGATCACACTATATTTGCATATTTACACAGATACTGACTGGTTTTCTGACTTATCTCCCATGTGTTGTGGTCAGCCTAAGGCACCTATTAAGATGATAATGTATACAGAGTTGAATCCTGAACAACGTCAGCAAAAACATGTATACCTTGTTCAGTGTAGGTTACTTTCAGTTCTGTCCCAGTACAGTATATACAAGGAAAAAACATAATCTGTTACATATTCTGACATAATGATTTGTATCGTTCAGGGTAGACAATCAATTTGGTGGCAAAATTCTAAAATGGATTATACATTATCAGAATATACAAGACATATCTATGCTTTCCATTAGTTCATTAGAGGCTATTGTAAAAGAGACTTATGATTACTGAATTATGATATTTCCCTGTGAAAGACTAGGATTGTTATTGCGACTCTTGTCAAACCTGACTTGATATTGGCAATGAAGTCAAATTAATCACTTGATCAACCCAACGTGAATTGTGCCCCCTGGCTAACACTTGTAACAGCAACATGCACACTCTAAACAAACCAAGGGAGGACACTATGTTCCATCGACTGCCCATTCTCCAGAGACCCCCCCCCCCATCTCTCCCACAGGTCTGGAGGTCCTAAACAGCGGTCTCACAGGGCTTGACCTCTCTAACATGCCTGCTTATCCCCTCTCTCCTGCGCATTAAACGCATAGATTTTCCCCCTCCTCGCATAATTTTCCAAGCTTAAATTTAACCTAGGTACTTAACACGTAGAAATTAGCTTATTATCGGCCGGGCTAATTACTGCTTATAAATAACACAAAGGAGCACGGGTTCGCACGATCACACAGAATACCTTAAAACCGCGAAAATCATCTGCAGTGATAATTTGTCGCAAAACAGGACAGAAGGGACCTGCGAATGAATGTTAATTTGATCATCGCACCTTATTAGCACTCTCTATGTTGGCGTCTCAAGTTCATTGTTTTTGTTGTAGAGTTTGTACACATAACTGAATTTTAAGCATAAGGTAATGGCAGTAATTTTAAGCAATCAATCAGGCATGTTCTTTTCTATTAACAGGTGAGATTTCAATTTGTAGAGGGTGTTTTGAGTCACCATGCAATCTTTCTGCTCATAGTCTAAATGCAAAGCAGTACCGGAACCGCAAATATGCCTTTGCTAATCTTGAGAATATTTACTTTACTAATATCTCATGTTTTGAAGAATTATCCTTCCATCCATCTTCTTCCCCTTAATCCATTTCTGGGTCGGGGGGTGGCAGTCAGAGCTGCACCCAGTACACAGAGAACCAGCCCATCACTGATGTCCTGCAGGTGGTGAGTCCACAGGAGCCTTGATCCAGTGGGGGCTTCAGCCAAAGTGGGGTTAAGTGTCTTACCCAAGGACACAACCACAGCAGTTATCAGTGGGAGTCATGAAGTAGGTCTTTTCGACCTTCAGGCCCAAAGGCCAATGCTCTACCAACTGAGCCACTGCCGCCCAATACATATAATGTGTGTAAATCCATCAAGCTAGTACCTAACTCTCAAAACAGTTTGGTTCTATTTCTGGTTTTATCATGCATGTAGTTTTGGCTCATCTTTACATCAGCCTTTTCAGACGGTGAAGAAGAAAGGACCACCCTATCACAGCCTATCAGCTCTCTGTCCAAAGGGCCAAATAGTGACTTACAGGGCTCATTCTTATTGAATATTTTATTATGGATAGATCGAAAAAACAAACAAATTCTGGTATTTTTTGTGTTTAGGGTTTAATCAGTCAATGGCATCCTAGTCAACCATGTTTTGAAATATAGATTCTCAAGATTTATACTTTGCAAAATTGAGAATAGTTGGAACAAATTAGCAGGATATTTGGTAGTTAAAGTCAGACACAACTTTAACTCTGTGCAAGCTAATGCATTGCAATTTGTGTGTGTGTGTGTGTAGGGATCTTCTTAATGTCCCACTGCTGATCACCAGTAAACATCAGAAGGGATATGGTACCCCCTGAACTTCTTCAGGCCAAGATTAACCCTGTAGAACCCAGACACAAAATTATTTGTTGAAAATAATTATTTGTGCTACTTTTGGAAAACCACATTCAATGACCAAATTTGGCAATGTAGCATATTTGCTTCTTTGTGTTCTTGGTTACAAACATTATTTGATGAATTAAACCAAAAAGTCATACGTCTTTTGCCATAACCATTGAACTATATGTTGCATATTTGCAACCGAGAGTGCTAAAGGGTTAAACCAAAACCACATGGCTGGACTAATGTCCAGTGTACTTATACTGCTTGTCCCATGTGCCTTTCTCCTCTTTCCAAAGAATACAATTACAATCATAGACACTAAGACGGATGATAGAAGTATTCACTATGAGAGGATTTGTCAAGCCTGTGTTTTTTTTCGACCGATCAATATTTTTCCATTCCACTACAGCCCTAGTGTAAAGATGCTTGTTGTGATTTGATGCCATACCAAATACATTCATTCAAAGTCATTCTTTCTTTGGTTCCAGGTGAACGACACAGTGTTGTGCGCGGGTCAGATCGCCCTGCGCCCCTGCACCATGGAGCTGCTCCAGGCCGGCTCGTCAGCGCAGGCGCGCCTCGCTCTCTCACACGTGAGACAGGTGCTCCAGGCCGCGCTTCCTGGGCTGACCCTGCATCACGTCCTGCAGGCGCACTGCTACACCACCAGGCCCGCGGACACTCACCTCATCCAGGACACGTGGAGGCGAGTGCTGGAGACCGAGAGCGCGGACGAAGTGAGTTATGTGCAGGAAAGACTTTTATTGATTTATTTGGAAGACAAGTGTACATAATTAACATGTGAAACACTACAACTTGTAGCCAAGTTTAGTTTCTTTATTTTCATTTGTAATTATCACTGGTAATCTCCGAAATATGGTCACAACATTCTTTTTTGCCTGTGTGTCTCTTTATCTCATTGTTATAGACAGTCACATTATCAATCCAAGACATTTTTGATTAGTTCAAGTCTTGATGTAGAGTAGTTGAGCAATGGAAGTAATGCACAGCTACGTTGACAGAAAACGCTTGTTTGTGAAATAAGGTCAATGGGAATACACTATTCTATATTTTATTGTGAAATAACAAAACAAATGTACCGTATGCATGCAGTGCCAAACGTGAATAGTTCAGGATGGCATTTATGGCATTTGGAAGAATAGAAATGAAATGGCAATTTTTATGATTATTATTGTGATTGTGGTCAATCTACTTAATGTTGATTTTGGCATTATAGCCATAACAATAAATAGGAAAAGTAAAGATAAGCAGCTGAAAGCAAGTTGATTTAAATATTCTTACAAAATTACAACTGTTTTAAGGTATTTTTCTACTTTTAAATTGTAACTTGCGATAGTGTTTGAGCCTTATGTGTGTGTTTTATAATTGATGCAGAGAAAATATTGATCACAAACAGCTCCTATCAGCTCTCACATGATCAATGCATCCAAATGTATGAGAACGTTCTGGTTCTAGTTCAAAAGTGAGAGTTGTGTTTGCCAGCCACATCCCGGGAGACTTGGGCTTTTGCTGCTTTTATTTACAAACGACAAGAGTTCATGGCAGAACATGTGAACAGCATTCAACTTGAATGAATTTGACTTGACTTCTTGAGTTTACTGCAGATGTTTGCTTAAAAAGTAGTTACTTTTTATAAACAAATACACAACGTTATGTAAGCATGAATATTGTGCTGTCTGAAAACCTCACTTAAACTAGTATCTGAGTGCCATCAATGACCCAATAGCATCCATGGTAAAGTATTTCAAGGAAGGCTGAGACAAGGTCAAGCTCCAGGTTATGTACTGGTTGGTAAGGATATGATCACAGGTTCATAAAGCACGGTGGCACAGTGGTGAGCAAGAAGGTCCTGGTTTGATTCCACTTCCAGACCTTTCTGTGTAGAGTTTGCATGTTCTCCTCGTGTCTGTGTAGGTTTCCTCTGGGTGCTTCGATTTCCTCCGGGTGCTCCGGTTTCCCCTACCACTAAAACATTTACCATAGGTCTGGTATATGCCTCCTGTATGGCGTCTTTGAGACTGTCACCGTGAAAGCCGCTTTATAAACAAATATGACTTACTTAAAGCTGTTGAAGTGTTGTGAGCAGGATACATGCGCCTCCCTGGGCAGGTGTTCCAGGCTTGTCCATCAGGAGGACCCTGCACACGCTATAAGGAGTATTCCAGGCCTGGGAAGGCTCGAACAAGCCATCACTCTATCAGTAAATGCGGCTTGACAGAAAGAAGGTCCTGAGTTCAATTCCACCTCCAGACGGGGCCTTTCTGTGTGAAGTTTACTTACATTTCCCCCTGTCAATTTTACAGGGATACAAAATATATTGTTTTTAAAGAGTTTGAGATAAGGAAAAAGCTACTGTGCTCTTCAAGTACTTGGCCTAGTAACAGTAGAAAGTGATGACACTAACTTGCAAGTGGAACTGACTAGTGGAACACTGAGTAATGCAGACAAAATAGAGGTCAGAAACACTTGTTAACTTCTCAAATAAAAAATCCTTTATTGAAACATGGAAAAGAAAAGCTATAACTTGTAAAACACTCCCATCTAGTGGAAGAAGTCCTTGGATCCGACTAAACAACTTCTGGAAACCCGCTCTCACTCCATGAAGCAGTGAAAGCATTGACAATGACAATCGGCCCTTCTGAGCCGACTGTTTAAAGTTCCCGGCCTCCTCCCCCCTGAGACCGCAGCCTCTCTGGATGATATTTACCAGTGAAGCGCGCTCATGAAAAGTTGATGACTTGGGAAGCGCGGCCGTCTTTGATACCGTCTTTTCCGCGTGCGCTCAGGCAGATGTCTCGCTAATCCTTCTGCCCCCACCGCAACGTTTTGGAGAAGTCATGGCCCCTCCCGCGAGCCTAATAGGGCCCTTCTCCTCCCCCCGTAATCTGTCCACAGCCTGGGGAATAGCGGTTAGCATGGGTTAGCGTCTCCGAAGGGGTTAGCTGCGTCAGGGAAAGTGCGGGCAGAGTGTCAACTTTGTGTCAAAAAAACAGATCAGCTTATCAAGCGGCGGTGCTGGCATCTTATTGTCAAGAGGACTTTGTGGCATTTGCATACGTTCAACGGCAAATCCAGTGCCAGGAGACGAGGCTGTTTGTGCGCTGAGGTGACGCCTTTTGCATTAAGTGTTGGAATGTTTCGTGATTTTGATCCAATTGTTTAGGAATGTCACAAAGTGGGGAGTGTGCATGTCTAACTTCTTAAACTTAGCACAGTCAATAGAGCCAAGGTGACGTTGACGAAGTTCCTGTTATGACTTTTTTTGATAGGTACTGTACATCAAAACATTATGAGATTGTTTGTGGAAAAGTCTTCTCAGCCTCATGCTACTATCTGCAATGTATCTCTCAACGAAAACAAACGATCAACATATGAAAAAATATGGTACCTCTTTAAAACTATGCACTCATATTATTATTTTCCATCTACATTTCCACTTGTTCTGGGTTCGAATCCCGGTCGGACCAGGGCCTTTCTGAGTGGAGTTTGCATGTTCTCCCCGTGTCTGTGTAGGTTTCCTCCGGGTACTCCGGTTTCCCCTACCACTAAAAATATGTACAATAGGTCTGGCATGCGCCTCCTGTTCGGCGACCACGCTCCCATCTCTGTGTGGAGTGAGAGGACAAGTGCCCAAAAATAACAATTGTAAACCGCTTTGTGACTCTGGTCTGTGAAAGGCGGTATATAAATAAAGATTACTTACTTACTTACTTACTTACATTGGAGATAAGCAAGTGTCTTCTATAGGCTAAGCTACAGGTTAGATATGTGAAGCAGGGCGCCAACCCGACTTGAGAATGTAGGTTTTTGAGGAGCCAAAGACATCTGAATTTAAATAATTTTCTCATTTATAATACAGAGCTGCAAGCAAGTGTAACAAGCAGGTTACAGACCCGATCAAAATGATTGTTCTATATGCACTTTTAAACAGTAGCTAATCAGTAGAATATTGTGTTATGGCCTTCCCAAAATCTGTATTAAACACTATTTGTATCATTGTATCATTACTATTTAAATCATGTATTTCATTTTATATTAACTTAACTCATGTAATGTGTTAATAATCTGCACTTACTAAATCAGAATCGTCCATCCATCCATTTTCTACCCTTTAATCCATTTCTGGGTCAGGGGGGTGGCATCTGATGCCACCCAAGTCTCATAGCACCAGCCCCTCACTGACCCTCTGCAGGTGGTGAGTCCACAGGAGGACGGCTGCTCTCTGAGTGTGAGCATAGCCTTGATCTTTCAGTGGGGGCTTTGGGCAAAGTGGGGTTAAGTGTCTTGCCCAAGGACACAACGACAGCAGTCATCAGTGGGAGTCGGTGGAGGAGGTGTAGAGGTGGGAATTGAACCCACGACCTTCAGGCCTGAAGGCCAATGCTCTACCAACTGAGCATAAATCAGAATCTTATAGTATCCTTTATGTGGAATGAGGAGTCTTTAACTTTTCTATGCATTTTTTGCCACACACTCTCTCAATTTAGAATAGAAAAGAAGTTCATTATGCATTGACAGCACAGTACAAACACAATAATATAAAAAAAAAACAACGATGAAGTTTGGTGAAGTGAGTCATTGGGCCACTGCTCTCTTGAGCACCGCTACAGAGTCTAAAAATGGACTTGAATTGCCAATAACAGAAGCTCAACTCCAAACTTAACTGTCTTCACCAAATTCCCACACACTGTAGCTGTAGTTTATCCCATCCTTCCATGCAGATCACTTCTTGAGCTGTGATGTTTTGGGGCTGTCTCAGGGCAGCACAGATTTTCTATTCCATTGAGCTCTGGAGATTGACTCGGCCACTCCAGGTCCTTGAAATGCTTTTGACGGGGCCATTCCATTGCTGCCTGATTAATGAAGGTTTTTGTCCTTAATCTCTTGATTTTTGCCTAATCTATCCTTTCCTTATTCAAAATCAGTCTTTGTATCCTCTTTTCAGATAAGGAGCCCCAAACCACAAGGTTTCCCTTCCCTTTGCTTCATTTGCCCAGCGATAGCTCCAAAGCATCACAGCTCCAGAGAAGTTCTGCATTGAAGAATGGGCCTAAATTCCAGCTATAGTTTGTGCAAACATGGTGTAGAGAGCCAAATAAATTTCCTAGTCTGTGATTTCCTGTTACTTATGTGGCAATACAAATCATTTTCTGATTATTCTGACCTACAGGAAACCCTTGACCCCTGTCATTGCCAACAGAGGTTACAGTACAGAGTATTAAGCTTTGTTATTGGCCAAAGAATTATTTTATATATCAATAAATTGTTAAAAAATGTGTATAAGGTCATTTCCAGAATTATCGTTTTCACATTCTGTCACTCTTAAGCCTGGTTCACACGGCAGGATAATTAGGCTGATTTTGGACCCGATTTACCCCTACGACAATCTTTAAGAACGCTCTAATTATTGTAAAAAAAATCTGCTGGATTTTCCTGCCATGTGTGGTGTCTTAAGATTGCGCTTGTCGCTCAGAAGGACTTCGGGACTGCTCCGATCTCAAATCGGGGATATCCAACATGTTGGATTCTTTTGGCCCGATTTATCTTTGTGTGTGGTGTCCCCCGGGGACAGACGAGCACGTTGCCATGACTGCGGCGTGTAGCCAATCAGAAGACGAGGTGATGAGGCGGCGAGGAAACGGCGTAAAAAAACAACTCACCTCCAGATCACGATGTAGCAAGTACAGTCCGTGCTCGCGTTGTCTACACTTCTTTG